TTTATGCTAGTCATTCTTGGTAAATAAATTTTATTACTGTAAAAGTTTTTGTTTTATTTTAGTAGCTTATTATTTAGACTAAGGTTAGGTTTAACCACTGTGGGTTCTACCACGGTTGCACTGACCGGACAGATTAGTTAGATAAGCCTAGAAGGGTAGATTTTAAGGTATCCCCCCCCCCAGCAGGGCTTACATTGAATGATTTCATCATTCGCATCAAATTCTTTTATTTGGCCATACAGCGCCATAATTCTAGAAATAATTAGCTAATAAGCTCTAGCAAACCTCTTTTTTGCGTAAGTAGGTGCTCTTTCTAGTAGATGTTTATCCTTCGTCGCCAGTTATAATAGATTGACGACAGAAGCCTGTGGTTGTATATAACACGTTTATTGGGTCTAACTACATCACGATGGTAACACACCGAGAGGACGGAAGGAAGTACACAAGGGACATCACTCAAGATAACAATATTATAAATATAACTAATACAGAAGAGTGAGTTCCCTTGACCTCACAATTATTTCAATCTATTACAGTTTCTTCAAGGCATCTTTTCGGAGGGGGGGGGGGGCGCAAATTTATATAGAAAACATATTTTTAACCAGTGCCCCCCCCCCCCCCCCCCCGAAAATATCTAGTGTCCCCCGGAGAAAAAAGTCTGGAAGAAACACTGGTTAATAGTTAAATTGTATTGTTTACTTTTTAAGGATTTAATTCGTAGTTTATGCATTCAGACAACGCAATGACCACAATGGTGTAACAACAATCCACGTGTCTTTCCTTATAACAAGAGTCAAACAAATTCACACATGGGAAATGTGGTAGTGGTAGACTTAAATAAAGACGTAAAAACCTGCCTTAACCCCTTACACTCGGTATGAATTCCATGGTCCCGCCCCTGCAGAGCTTGGATAGAATCTACCACACTTATGTCAAGGCAGATCTGCTACATCTATAGACCTAGAGGCCTCGATGCGATAGTATCAAACACCATCATGTTGCAAACTTCCGCAAGCCAGTGTATAGGGCCTACAATATAGCTACTCATCATCAATATAAAGCAATATTAGTGTTACGAGGGCATCAAATAATTATTCGTTATACGTCACTTTTGTTTCTTTTTATGTTGTTGCAATTAATATAACTAGAATATGTGAGTATATTTAACCTTGAAGTTGAAATCAGTCTGTCGTCATAGAAATCTTGAAACATACAACCATTTGCCATCTAACTGTAACCCTCACTCAGTGGGGATGCTTTTACCCACTGAGGTGTTGTGGTTAAGACGGGCTGACCCTGAGATTAAGTACACACCGACGCCGACAGTTGTTGTCAAGTACTCGTTTATTTATAGCATCGAGCCATGACGGCGATGCAACACAAAACGAACTAGCCAAGGTAGACCAAAAGATCCAAACAATCCAAAAGACCAAAAGATCAAAAGATCAAAAGATCAAAATAGGAACAGAAAACTGTAGCCCTAAAACAAATGTAAAATAAAAAAGTTACATTCAGGACAACACCACGTGTAAGCTACAATATACACGGGTACAATAAATTATGTTTTCGGCCAGTACACAGTACTGCCAACAAGTACCAATAAGTAGTACTACAAAATAAATACTTAATTTAATACATCACCCTAACTAGTGTGCACATGCATCACTAGCAGGAATACATAAGTATTTAAACAAACATAATTTATATATCTACACTACCTTCATTAGGTCTACATCTTGGTCCACAGACAGCAGCCTTGCGTGTGCGACACGACTAGGCACATGTCACATGACATGGAACACAGGTAATTTCGCTCACAAAAGCATAAAAAAAACGTCAACAGTTCAGTTGCAGTCCCACAGGGGCCGCAACCCAATGAATAAAAACTTCATAGTTTTATCCCCCTTTTGGCTAGTAACCATATGTGTTACACAGCCCCCCTCACAAATAAATGTACAATGTGATTTACATTTACATTTACAACTCATACTTAAAAAAAAAAGTTTAGTACACAAGTACACAGACATTAAGTCCTTTCAACTCAAATAGATTATTCCCGGCAAACCGGTAGAGGCTCCAGTGCAGGTACTGGTCACCACTTGATGCGCCAGGTTGAGTCGCTCGACGGGTCGTCGTTGACGGGTTGACCTCCGCAGCTCCACTGGTGGTTCTGGGTTGATCAAAGAGTCATCCTCGTCCGATGCCTCATCCCTCGCATTCACCTCATCCAGATGTGGGACTGGCCTGACCATCACCTTGTCTTGTCCGTCCCGGGCGACAACCTCTGGCACGAAAGGCGTTGCCTCCGGCCGAAGTCTGGTTGGGACCACTACCTTGATTGTCAGTTCCTCACCTTCATCTGCCTCACTGGTTGGGATGATCTCTCTCCGTCGCTCCCCCTCCGCCACAGTGGGTTCAGCACTCGACATTGTATAGTCGGGTCGCTGCCAACCACGGCGGCGTCCACCACGTCGTCGGCCTCTCCTCCGGCGGCGTCTCCGACCTCTGCTTGTGTCATGTCTGTCTCCCAAGCGACGATCTTGCTCGCGCTGAGACTGACATTCATAGTGTGGCTGTCTACCCTTCTCACGCGCACCCTCCGGCTGCAACCCTCCTCCACGGCGGAACACCCGACAGCCGTACCTCCAGCCGCTAGGCGAGGTAACCTGAGCTGTGGTTGCTCGACACTGTGATGATCTCGGTGGCGTAAACTTGGACTGGGAGCTTGGCAGAACACGCATCAGCATCCGCTCCCCGACGCTGATGGACTGGCGTTTCCCTGCTGCTGACCCCGTTGCCTAGCTGCTTTTCTCGGACAGTCGCGGACGAAGTGCTTCGTAGACCCGCACCCGTAACAAGCTCCTCTGGAGGGCTGTTGTTTCCGGGCTAGGATATCTGCCACCTTCTCCGCCAGACGGTCGAGTTGTTCCTCCGTGAGCATCAGCGGCGTCGTCTCCTGGCGACCAGCTACCGTTACTGCGTCGACCTTCTGCGCCAGACGGTCGAGTTGCTCCTCCGTGAGCATCAGCGGCGGCGTCGTCTCTTGGTGAACAGCTGCCGTTACTGCGTCGACCTGGATAGTCCTGTTAGCTGCTGCCGTGGCTACGACTGGGGACTCAGCTGTCCCGTCCAGCCTTTTAACAGCTTTCAGAACGTCCTCCACCTTCGGACTGGCTTCCCCTGCGAAACCAAATGTGCCGCGAAGTTCGAGCGCCAGAATAGGTGAAACCCCCTTGCAGAAAGTGTGATACACCTTCTTCTGGGCATCGGCCTCAGTAAAGATACGCTGCTGGTTTAGCTTCGTCATCTCTGACCACAGTCGGCAGAGAAATTCCGACGCTGACTCCCTTGGATGTGGAGTGAGTCGGCTGAACTGCAGATACCTGTCTTCGGCACATCTGGTGTCGCCAAAAGTGCTTTGTAGGAGGCATAGCACTTCCTCTGGACTCGCAGCTTGCTTCACCCGCTCATAGGCAATCCCTCTCAGGCTGCCTAAAACGGGTGGCATCGGGTTCGGAACGCTGGTGTTCCGCAGCAAACACTGTACTTGGGTTTCCCATTCCGGGAAATTCACCTCCCCTCCTCCAGTGGGTGGAAGGCCGGTGAACACACTCAGCTTGCTGTTGTGTGCTGGAGCACACACCTCCACCTTCACGGGCCGCTGCGCATCTGCCTGCATCGCCGCCATCTTAGCCGTCAACTTGGCCAGCTCCTGCGACAACTTCTCCAACGTCGGGTCGCTGTCTTCCATCCTATCTCCCAAGGTCAAGCCCCACGTTGGGCGCCAAATGTAACCCTCACTCAGTGGGGATGCTTTTACCCACTGAGGTGTTGTGGTTAAGACGGGCTGACCCTGAGATTAAGTACACACCGACGCCGACAGTTGTTGTCAAGTACTCGTTTATTTATAGCATCGAGCCATGACGGCGATGCAACACAAAACGAACTAGCCAAGGTAGACCAAAAGATCCAAACAATCCAAAAGACCAAAAGATCAAAAGATCAAAAGATCAAAATAGGAACAGAAAACTGTAGCCCTAAAACAAATGTAAAATAAAAAAGTTACATTCAGGACAACACCACGTGTAAGCTACAATATACACGGGTACAATAAATTATGTTTTCGGCCAGTACACAGTACTGCCAACAAGTACCAATAAGTAGTACTACAAAATAAATACTTAATTTAATACATCACCCTAACTAGTGTGCACATGCATCACTAGCAGGAATACATAAGTATTTAAACAAACATAATTTATATATCTACACTACCTTCATTAGGTCTACATCTTGGTCCACAGACAGCAGCCTTGCGTGTGCGACACGACTAGGCACATGTCACATGACATGGAACACAGGTAATTTCGCTCACAAAAGCATAAAAAAAACGTCAACAGTTCAGTTGCAGTCCCACAGGGGCCGCAACCCAATGAATAAAAACTTCATAGTTTTATCCCCCTTTTGGCTAGTAACCATATGTGTTACATAACTAAACATGATAACACAGTAAAATGAAAAGCCCACTCTTCAGAAAAATTGGAGTTAAATTGTTCCTTTAACCTCGTCATATGATTTATAATAAAGGGATAACAGCGGTACTTTATGTAATACTTTTACACGACTAACCGAGTTTTTTCCCAAGCCAACTCCACATCCCCCCGGACAAAATAATTTAATTTTAAAAAATCAATTATATACATTAACCAGAGAAATATCTAAAAGAAACCCTGATGACTAGAGAGAAATTCGATAGGGTTTCTACAATGAATTTATCTCTTTGATTTTCGGATAGGCAATTCTTAAAATATGAGAATATTTCTTTCAATTCTACAAAGTTTATGATAGATGTTCCAGCCGTTTTTTTTCTATCTGGTGTTTAGAACTACCACTTTTGAGCAGCTACTTTCGTTTTCGCTGTTTTATAATTATTGCATAAGGTTTTTTTTTTACCCTAGCCGAGATTCTTCTTACATTCCAAAGTAGATTTCTAGATCTAACTAGATCTAGAACTAAATAATACTTTCTGCACCCTTGATATATAACTGTTAGATCTAATCTAGATCTATGTATTTTATTAGTTTTTTAGGTAATTTAAATTTAAGTAGGCTAAGCTGCTGTCGTTTTAGTAGTGATTTCAGATTTTTAGATCTAGATCTAGACTAGAGAATTAGATCTAGATTCTAGATCTAATCTAGATCTAGAATCTAGTATGAATTACAAATTACTAGAATCCAGATCTAGATCTAGTCTTTTACTAACTAGACTAGGTGTGTAGTACTCACTGTACTGTTGTAGTACGTAGAGTAGTAGTAGTGCTTAGTAAAATCGGCCGAGGCTAGCTAGATTCTACTAGCTAGATCTAGTAAATAGTAAATAAATAGTAATGTGCGAAAAAGTTGCCTCATTGTTATTTGAATATTTGTTTAGGCTTCAATAGAAGTCTAGTGAGATATATATCATATATTTGTGTCAAATATTATGAGATAACTATAACAGAAAAAAAATATTTAGAAAAATATCTGAAATTCAGCTTTAAATAACATCACTGAAAATGGAATAGATAAGAAATAATGCGAACTTTGAAAAGTTGTTCTCAGTTATGAGTCTATGAAGCTTTCAAGGCTAAAACATCATTTTGAGACGAGTCATTCGGAACACACCAAAAAAGATATGGAGTTCTTTTGTCGGCATGAAGCTAGTTGCAAACGTCTGAGACTTGATCGAACAGGAAGTTTTCACCAAGAAAACACAGCATTAGTACAAGCATCTTATGAAGTCGCATTAAAAATTGCCAAGCAAAAAAACCTCACACAATAGGAGAAAATCTCATTCGTTCGTGTTACTTGTCTTTGTGAAATATATTCATTAGGATGATAGCAAAGAAAAGCTGATATTTTGTGAAGATATCATGAAGAAAATAAAAACTTTTTTTGAAATTGGATGATTAAAATGGGAAAAAGGCTGTGGGGTTTGTACGGATGGTGCATAATGTTTGAGTCAAAATCGGGCTTTCAAAAAAAAAAGTAAAAGATGTAGCTCCCTAATGAAGGGGAATCCACTGCATGATTCACCGGTATACCCTCACCAGCAAGACTCTACCGACTCCATTGCTAATAAAAGTCGTAAATTATACTAAATCTGTTTCAAGAACTGTGCAAAGACATGAATAAAGATCACGAGGTTCTACACTACAGTACACTGGCTGTCAATAGGAAATGTGAATCGTGTTCTTGAATTGAAAGATCAAATATTTTAATGACAAACAATGGTTTTAGAGAGTATCATACCTAGCAGATATATTCGAACATCAACATAAGCTTAACCTGAAAATGAACGAATATTATCTCTCTTCATGATAATCTCTTGGCATTTTTATCAAAGCTGCAAAATTGGCGAAGAAAAACAATATCAGAAATATTGCCATGTTTGAGAAACTCTGCTGTGTGGTAGATGAATCTGATTGTGAGAAATAAAAAATTGAAACAGGAGATTTCCGGGTAACTTGAATCTCTTAAAAGCGAAAAGCGGCGTTATTTTCCCTGAGCTGAAATAAGAAGAATCTGCATTGGCACATTACCCATTCTCTGGTTCCCTTGATGTTTCCAGCATTCCCGATGAATTCTTAAATTTGCGGAATGATTCTGCAGCACGTACCATGTTAAATAAAAAAAACTGCTCAAACAATTTTGGTGTAGTATGCACAGTTCATACCCAAACGTGAAATCGATTGCCTTTCGAGTTTTAGTTCCTTTTGTGTCTTCTCAAATTAAAAAGAAAATAAGTTAATTAATTAAATGCTGAAATGACATGAGCTTGGCGTTAACAAAAACTCAACAGCTAATGTTGAGGCTAGTGCTAGGCATTCAATTTCACCCATCGAATTAAAACAGTTATAAAAAATAATTAATATTAAAAAGTCTACTAGAAAATCGTAGTGCTTATTAATTTCCTCACTAATTTTGACTTATTAATTCTATGGGGGTTGCTGTCACTTATTTTTGTATAAAGGGTGTCGCCACTCGAAAAAGTTTGGGAACCACTGCTATTGTCTATAGTGATAGTCTCTACACTCTACACTCTATCGACTCTATAGTCTATACTCAGAGTCTTATAGACTAGAGTCTAGTTCTAGATCTAGTAATCTTGTACTAGATCTAGTATTAGAATTCAGTCTACTTTTTAAATTTAAATCTAGAAAGGAGTACAAGTAGACTAGTCTATGACATCTACTACTTATTACTACTACTACCCATGACTATCGACATAGAATACTTAATACTTACTGTTAGCAAGTAGGCCTACTTGTTAGTAGGTAGATCTAGATCTAGACCTCTAGCTAGATCTAAATTTAGATAAAAATTTAACTTATTTAGTATTTAATTTAGTATATTTTTAGTGGCTCATAGATCTACTTTTATTTTTATTCCTTTTACGAATGTCATTCCAGCCAGAGACAGTTCAGTAGTGAGTAAGCTAGAGTCACAGCCATAGACCATGGCTACTTTTTCATTTGTTTTGGCTTACACATTTATTTTATGTGTAAATGCTATTAATACAAGGGATTTTGGTCACTTTTACCAAAGCAATCAGAACAATGTCCTCAATATTTCACATGATGTTAAAGGACAAATAGATCCAGATGTTCACAAAAATATAGTAAGTTCTTTTATCAATTTATGTTGCATTTTTGTTAAAGTTTAGGCTGCTTCCATTATATAGTTTAGAAGCTTTAAACTTCCAGTGCATTTAAGTGTTATATATTGGCAGCACACATTTTAATTTTAAGGAAAAGCAAAATCCTTAGGCCTATTTATTTATTTTGAAAGAAAGTGTAATTTCTGTTGCTTTTTTTTAAGACTGAGTTTATCATCGGTGAGGGATATCCATTTGAGAAATATACTGTTGAGACAAGTGATGGTTTTTTGCTGGACCTACATCGTATACCTTGGGGAAGACAAAATGGATCCACCAGAAATGTTAAGGTGTCTAGGCCAGCAGTGTATCTACAGCACGCACTATTGTCTAGCGCTGCTGACTGGGTCATGAATTTTGCTCATGGAAGTCTTGGTAAGTTACTTGAAGTTGTAATCAACATGTTACAGCTGTTTAGCAGAAGTCAGAAATTTCACCAGTCCCCATAGTTCACCCATCCCCATAGTTCACCAGTCACCATAGTTCACCAGTCACCATAGTTCACCAGTCCCCATAGTTCACCAGTCACCATAGTTCACCAGTCCCCATAGTTCACCAGTCCCCATAGTTCAACAGTCACCATAGTTCACCAGTCCCCATAGTTCACCAGTCACCATAGTTCACCAGTCCCCATAGTTCACCAGTCACCATAGTTCACCAGTCCCCATAGTTCACCAGTCTCCATAGTTCACCAGTCCCCATAGTTCACCAGTCCCCATAGTTCACCAGTCACATAGTTCACCAGTCCCCATAGTTCACCAGTCATCATAGTTCACCAGTCCCCATAGTTCACCAGTCCCCATAGTTCACCAGTCCCCATAGTTCATCAGTCCCCATAGTTCACCAGTCCCCATAGTTCACCAGTCCCCATAGTTCACCAGTCACATAGTTCACCAGTCCCCATAGTTCACCAGTCCCCATAGTTCACCAGTCACATAGTTCACCAGTCCCCATAGTTCACCAGTCCCCATAGTACACCAGTCCCCATAGTTCACCAGTCCCCATAGTTCACCAGTCCCCATAGTTCACCAGTCACATAGTTCACCAGTCCCCATAGTTCACCAGTCCCCATAGTACACCAGTCCCCATAGTTCACCAATCACCATAGTTCACCAATCACCATAGATCAGTTATTTCTTTTTTTGTCTCGGCTTAAAAGAGTCAGAAATCTTTCAGCGTCCCCCCAACCATCATCCCAATCATTCTGTATGAAAATCCCCATCCTCACCCAAACACCCTTTATATAATTTGAAAATCCAATCTATATACACGATAGCATTTTATTAAAATTATTTTATACATGCAGCATATTGTTTTTTATCCTAGATTAATAATAATATGGAATTATTTGCCCTCAGACTTTTTAAACTTATTACAGGTCAAAACGTTCAGGTCTACATTATATCTGTGTAATTATATATAATTTTCTCCTTTTCTGTTCAAAAATATTTTTTTTCTAATTTGAAGTGCTTACAATTATTCATTCTTTAAATGAACTTATTTAAAAAAGTAATGTTTTGTTCCATTTAATTTCATTATTTCTTTGTTTTGTTTTTCTCACTTGTTTCTGGCACCTGCCAATGCTGCATGAGGAAACTGTGAGATAGCACTGTTTCGTTTATTAAGTCTTCTAATTTTTAATTATCTTTTTTTTTTTCAGGTTTTATTTTAGCTGATGCTGGCTTTGATGTTTGGATGGGGAATACAAGAGGAAACACCTACTCCCGTCAACATGTCAGATTACAACCAGATGATCCAAAGTTCTGGGAGTGGAGGTAAATGCTAGAGCTTGTTACAGTACTATAAAGCACTGGTGGCTGACTGGACTGTTCTATAGCTACAATAACACTTTGACAAAGTTTGAACAAACTGCTATCATCAGATCAGCCTACATGCTAGAAGTGAACTTCTAAAAAGGGTTTTGGTAGTTATATCTATGCCATGATCTGTAATAAAAAAGCTACAGGTTATCAAAGTATCAAAACTAATTTTTCACTCAGACCAGTAACCAAACAATACATTAATTTTTGTTTCACATGTTTGATTAAACTGTTGTTTCTGTAAATGTTTCTATAATGATTGAAATGTGGTGACATATGCAATACACTTATATTGTTTTGGTTAAACTTGTTTCTGTAAATGTTTCTGTAATGATTGAAATGTGGTGACATATGCAATACACTTATATTGTTTAGATGAAACTTGTTTCTGTAAATGTTTCTATAATGACTGTACTGTATTAACATTAACCAGCTTTGATGAGATGGCCCAGTATGACACCCCAGCATTCATAGACTTTGTACTTGAACAAACCAAGCAGGATTCTCTCTTCTACATCGGCCACTCACAGGGCACTACAATGGCTTTTGCTCTCCTGGCTCAGAGACCTGACTTTGCACAAAAGGTAGGGCACATAGAAGGCCACTATATGTGTCTATACACAAAAGGTAGGGCACATAGAAGGCCACTATATGTGTCTATACACAAAAGGTAGGGCACATAGAAGGCCACTATATGTGTCTATGCACAAAAGGTAGGGCACATAGAAGGCCACTACATGTGTCTATACACAAAAGGTAGGGCACATAGAAGGCCACTATATGTGTCTATACACAAAAGGTAGGGCACATAGAAGGCCACTATATGTGTCTATGCACAAAAGGTAGGGCACATAGAAGGCCACTATATGTGTCTATACACAAAAGGTAGGACACATAGAAGGCCACTATATGTGTCTATACACAAAAGGTAGGACACATAGAAGGCCACTATATGTGTCTATGCACAAAAGGTAGGGCACATAGAAGGCCACTATATGTGTCTATGCACGAAAGGTAGGGTACATAGGCCACTATATATGTCTATACACAAAAGGTAGGGCACATAGAAGGTCACTATATGTGTCTATGGGGACGGAGTGGTCTAGCGGTAGAGAGCTGGACCGCTAACCCGTCTGTCTCGAGTTTGAATCCGGGTTCAAGTCAGAGAACGTCCCTGAGTCCACCCAACTCTGCTGGGTACCTAACTCACGTTAGGGAAAGTAAAGGCGGCTGGGCATAGTGCTGACCACACTATCTCTTCAAAAGCCGAGGTCACAGAAACAAGTGAACTCTACTTCACTTGCCCCATAGACCGTCAGGTTTGAAAGGGAAACTTTACTTTACTTATATGTGTCTATACACAAAAGGTGGGGCACATAGAAGGCCACCATATGTGTCTATCCACAAAAGGTGGGGCACATAGAAGGCCACTATATGTGTCTAGAGTTGAACTCTCCCATACCTGTCAATGTTTAAGTTGCTTCCTTGTCTTCAAAGATTTTATTCCCCAATGGACACATTAGATCACACTGATGACACATTTTTTTCTGTAATTCCCAGATCAAATTGTTTGTAGCCCTGGCACCTGTTGCCCACCTGAACCACATGAAATCTCCCATCAAATACCTGATGGACACATTAGATCACACTGATGACACATTTTTTTCTGTAATTCCCAGATCAAATTGTTTGTAGCCCTGGCACCTGTTGCCCACCTGAACCACATGAAATCTCCCATCAAATACCTGGCTGACTTTCCTGACAAGGTCAGAGTTTTAGATGGTCCTTGAAATATTTTTTAGTACAATGTTTCTGTTTGAGGCTATCAATAGATTGACAGTTGTATGATTGGGGCAAGCTGTGATGTGCTTATGTTATTAGAGACTATAACTGTACTAGCATCAATTAACTACCAAAAATGGTGTGTTTAATTCCATTGACATTTCCTGGTTGGTATTGGTGTGCCATGCAAATGTTGTTTCCATGAATCAAAATAAACTAAAAAAAAGGGATAATTAATCATAATTTAAAATAAACCGGGAGTGATCTCCCCTAAACTTTCTCAAATATTCTTATATAACACTACGGGGGATGGCAACTCGGGATATAGACAAAATTTTAATCCATTTTTAATTACTTAAACTTTTTATAATAGAGTCTTTTAGAAAAAAGCATTGCGCACCATGTGAACGCCAAACAAAATGTGTATAATAGTGTGGAATATTATTAGTACTTTATAAATTCACATGCGTCTTTTGAGAAATAGGAAATAACGGAAATTACTCAAAATTTGATAGAAGGCAGAGAATTAGATCTTTTAAAAAAAACCAGTTTGAAATTTAACTTATTTAAAACTACTCACATCTGACTGGACACAAATATTTGTTGTAAATTTAACTCTGTTTTTCACAGCTTCTGTATGATGTATTTGGCCAGCGTGATTTTCTCCCCAATGGAAAATTTTTGAAGTTTCTTGTAGACAAGGTTTGTGCTGATGTTCTCACCAGGTGGATTTGCTACAATGATCTCTTTCTCTTCAGTGGATATGATATCTCCAACTTAAATCAGGTAAACGTGGATGCCAAATAAATCAGTTTGACTATTACTTATAAAGGTAATAACAGTGATAAATGTAGTAGATGTGTAACAGTGCCTTCTGTTTTCTTCTCTGCCTATTTTCTTCACCTTGTGTGTTATATTTTGGTTATAATAAACTATTCTATTAAAGTCTTGTTTGTGATGATTCTCATGTCGTAATTAACAAATATTTGTACCTGCCAGACTCGCCTGCCTGTCTACATGAACCAATCTCCTTCAGGTGTGTCCACAAGGGACATGGTACACTTTGCTCAGGTAAACAACATCAGGTGGCTAGGTCAAATATTTTTAGCATACGTTTAGTTTTGGAATTTTAAAAATAATTTTAGAATGTTTTTTTTTAAATTTAGGCTTAGATAATAAATTTCTTTTCTTTAATAGTTTTAAATAAAATGTTTTGTATATATTGATATAGATCTATAACTGAACACTAAGTTTATGAGAATTGTTTGAACTTAAGGGCATGGGCGGGTGTACTTTTCGACATAAATCGACCAAATCATCGATTCCCCACTTTTACTTGATCTATACAGAATAACCATCGCTGAATCTAAAAATGAAATTGTAGTGTGTACAGCTTCATTTGTTTACTTTTTTGGTACAAACAGTCATTTTTCGACCTAGAAAAATACTATTAGGCTTCGCGTAAGCCTAATGTGTTTCATATCAATGGAAAGGCCGTGACCTCCTTTCTTTATATGTTTTAAAATTAAAGGACCAATCAAAATACGTATTTTAATGTGATTCTTTTTCCGACGTCATAAAGTTGTTTATTTTACTCATTCGGGATTTTCCGGTATGCAAATTTTTTACCTCAATTTTTTCATTGGCATTCAACGCCGGAAGCTAGTTAGCGATTGGTCGTTTCGCTTCGGAAGTAAACATTCCCTTAGTTTCAGCGCGTTACTAAGTTCGATCTGGTTTAATCTTGTTTCTCTAAGCGTCTGTGAAATAGTTACATTATCTTTAACATATCATTTTTTAAATTAATTTAAATGTACTATTATACAGTTTGTGCTCAGTTGTGTTAATTACCATATGCAGTGAGACGATTGTATTTGTTTTTTTTTTTTCGAAAATGGGTACATCCAAACACTCGCTAAAAAGCCGATTCACAAATCTAACAAAAGCAAGGCAAGTCCGCATGCAAATGAATAAAGCTAGGTCTACCTCTACTCAATCCAGCAACATTCAGACAAGTACTGATGCAGATGTATGCACATTTACCAAGAAACTGCGGCAATGTAATACACAGTTTTTACAAGCAGAAGAGAGCAATGCTACATGTAGTGCTGATAGTGCTAATATTAAAACACAGTCTTGCAGAATTATTGTTGACTGTGATTTGCTGCTTGCTTTTATCAATAAATTTCCTTGCCCAGAGTGTAACAGTAATGTAGTGGCTACTATTGATAAAAAAAAATGGAAAGGGTTTGCTTCTGTCATTCAAGTATGGTGTCACAGTTGTAAAAAGATTGTAAACAGTATGGATACATCTGCAAAAGAATCCAGAAAAGGGCCATCTACAATTAACAAAGACATCGTCTTAGCGTCATTGGCGTTAGACATGGGACCCTATAAAATGAACAAGTTTGCTGAATACGTTAATCTTCACGGAATGCACCAAAAGACGTTTCTAGCCATTACGAAAAACTTACACAAAGAGATGGTCTGTACGGAGAATCAAGTGTACAAAAAAGCAGCTGCAATAGTCCGAAACACTCATAGAGCTGAGACTAATGAAATATTGGATATTGCTGTTTCTTTTGATGGTACCTGGCTGACTCGTGGACATTCATCGCTAATTGGCATAGGCACAGTAATTGAAATCCAGACCGGATTAGTGTTAGATATGCATGTGACAAGCCTTCATTGCAGTATATGTGCACAGGAGAATAAACTAAAGAGTGGCTGGACATCCACCAGAAAGAGGGTGGCTGCACTATAAACCACGTTGGTAAGTTAATTAATTATAAAATATTAAGCTATATTTCATCAATACTATTGATCTTGAATGATTTAAATGTACGCACATGGTAGTAATGTTTGTTGTGATTATAGTGTAGTGATTTTTTAAAAATATAACATTTTGAAATGTTAACATTTTTAGGCCCTTCTGGGATGATGGAGGCAAAAGCAGCTGAAGTCCTTTGGTCTAGATCACTACAACTGCATATTATGCAATACACAGTGATGCTTGGCGATGGAGACTCAAAAGGTTTTGACAGAGTCACAGGCATTGAACCATATGGTTCACTTGTCAAGATCACAAAAGAAGAATGTGTGAACCATATTTCCAAGAGATTGGGCTCAGCTATGCGGAACCTTGTCCAGGACTGTTCTAAAAAGGGTAATAATCTTTTGCTAGAATCTGTAAATTTAAATAATAATTATTTTTTGTTTATTTTGTCATAGTATTGTATGGTAATAATTTTAAATTTTAAAATTAGTTATCTATATATATTCTTTTTTTATCAGGAGTGACACTAGGAGGCCGAAAGGTTGGAAGCCTTACTGCAGAGAAAATAAGGAAGCTTTCAATTTATTACAGTAGGGCTGTTAGGGGAAACAAAACTGCAGAAGATATGAGGAAGGCAATATTAGCATCTTTGCACCATAATTACTCCACAGATGAGTATCTGCAGCACCAATTTTGCCCTCCTGGAGCAGATAGCTGGTGTTTCTATAAGCGAGACGTAGCTGAACACAAGTACCCAGGTGGACTTGCCAAAAAGATCCACAGTTTCCTGGACTTCAACAGCCTCCACAAATATATGTGGCCCGTTTATTAAAGGCTATCAGATGTGGCACTCCTGAAGCAATGTGAACTAAGGTCAACGCAAAATGCAAATAAAAGTTTGCATAATTGCATATGAGCAGGCTGCAGCAAGGTGAATTTTCATTCCGCAAAGAGAGTTCAATATGCTGCTATTTCTGCGATAGCAGAATTCAATTTTGGACCCATGCATGCTATGACATTGCTGGGAAAAATAGGAAATCATAGTCGAAGACTAAGTGAAGGTCGTCAAAAAAGACGCTTAGACAACAGCCTGACAACAGTTTTAGGCAAAAGCAATGAGCGCCAGAAAAAAAGGAAACTAGCAGCTGAACAGAAGGATTATATTCAGCAGCACAGTACTTCTGGCTATGAATGTGGTCAATTTTAATGACTTACAACAGTATATTCTCATTTTGTGCAACTTTTTGTTAGTTTTTTGCGTTTTTCTCAGTTTGATGTTTTTTTCACCATTGTTAAAATAACTTTCTTAATAATTATCAGAACTGAACAAAATTTGTTCCAGTTACTCTGTATATATGTTCAAATAAAACTTATAGAACGCTTTTAGAGTTTTTTTTTTATTGTTGAAATAGTGAATAAATTGGACGAAATAATGAAATTTTTACAGTGATGTATAGAAAAATTAAAAAAAAAAAATCATCTTCATTTTTGAAAATGTAATCAATAAGAAGTCTTAAACACGTGTGTCTCCAGACTATATATCGTTTTCGTGAGTTATTTCCATTTAAAAAAACGCCAATAAAATCCAATATGGACACCATCACCATGGCAACTGAGGATTTAAAAAATTAAAAAAAATATTTTTATGCTTAGCCCTTTGAGTTATAACTATTAGCCAAGTATTACATCTTTAGCCTCGGAAATAAGAAAGTTGGTACTCATCACCCGCCCATGCCCTTAAAAGAAAAATTATTTACCTGTGGTTGGAACAATGAATTTATTCTGTTAAACTTCAGACTTACAGGGAAAAACAGTTTGTAAAGTACAACTATGGATCAGCTCAAGAGAATTACAGACATTATAATCAGGTACTTTGTTCTATAGAGTGTTTGGGTAACTGCTGGCTTGTTCTGGGTTTTAGATGAAAGAAAACTGATAGGGGGACAGTGTGAATGGATGGTAGAGGATACAACTCTTAACCTGAAAGTCTTGAGTTTAAATCCTGGGTTCTTGTTTCACCCAGCTCTGATGCATACCTGACACACATTAAGGAAAGTAAAGGTGGCTGGGCATAGTGCTGACCACACTATTCTTTCAGGTGAACTCTACTTCACCAGCCCTATGGACTGTCAGGTTCAAAGAGTACTTTACTTTTACCCTGAATGGGCAATACATTTAAAAGAACAGCATTAAACTATGCAATAATTGGAAATCTGTGATTGAGTCATGCAGTACAGAATAGATTTACTTGGCACCTAAATTTACTTGTTGTTGGATTTTGATGACATTCCGGGCAAATAATAATAAATATTTTATTTTAAGAGCCAACCACCACAGTATGATGTTACCAAGATTAATGTGCCAATAGTTGCCTTTACATCAACAAAAGACTGGCTCTCTGACCCTGAGGTAATGTGTTGATTCAAAAGTTTTACATGTAACCAATAGAAACTGTAACTGTTTATGTCAATGTTATGTGTGTATTCAAATCTCTCTATATATAGTATCAATAAGAAATCATGTTTTCTAGTCAGTTAAACATTATAGTTTGTACAAGGTTCAATAAATTTAGTTTTGTACAACATTACAATAATGAGCGTCCAATACTTAAGCTTTGTGGCTGATTACTGTATTATTTTAGTCTAATATTTGCTTCATATTTATTCGTCTCATGATATGCATCTCTGATCAAATATATCTCATAGAGAGATATAATAAATATACATTTTCATAACAACATGTATTATCTTTATATTATTTAGATTCCTTAATACTAAAAAGCAGAACATTTTCTTTAATGCATCCATTTCAGTGCTTTTTCATGAATATATATATATATATATATATATATATATATATATATATATATATACTCTTAATACATATATACAACTTTTTACCTCAAAAATTATTGGTATTATTCGTATACATAAATTTTAGCAAGTTGTGGAAAAAGTTCCAATGGTTAAGAAAAAACCCACTATTAGTTTCCCTATTTCATTTTCCTGCAGGATGCCAGCAAGCTGTTCCAAGAGTTGCCGAACTTGAAAGCCAAATATGAAATATCTGGCTGGAACCACATAGACTTTGCATGGGGTATGGACGCACCACAGCGCTGCTACAGCATCATTGTTGACTGGCTGCACAACCTCACAAGCAGATTGTAGTTAGCCTCACAAGCAGATTGTAGTTAGCATCACAAGCAGATTGTAGTTAGCATCACAAGCAGATTGTAGTTAGCCTCATAAGCAGATTGTAGTTAGCCTCACAAGCAGATTGTAGTTAGCATCACAAGCAGATTGTAGTTAGCATCACAAGCAGATTGTAGTTAGCCTCATAAGCAGATTGTAGTTAGCCTCACAAGCAGATTGTAGTTAGCCTCACAAGCAGATTGTAGTTAGCCTCATAAGCAGATTGTAGTTAGCCTCATAAGCAGATTGTAGTTAGCCTCACAAGCAGATTGTAGTTAGCCTCACAAGCAGATTGTAGTTAGCATCACAAGCAGATTGTAGTTAGCCTCACAAGCAGATTGTAGTTAGCCTCACAAGCAGAACTTTGCTTGTCTTACAATCAGATTTTAATTGAAGCCTTACAAGCAGATTTTAATTTAAGCCTTACAAACAGATAGTATTGATGTACAGATTCTCTATTATTGAATGTTGCGGTCATTGGATTATCTTCCGGTACTTTAGCCTCTGGCACCAGTAGTTATGTATACTGTATAACTCTGTCCCAGTGTAAATATTTTTTTATTACGGGTATCTTTCTTGGAATATTTGCCTTACACTGTTGTTGTTTGAAAATTTAATACATGCTTTTTTCTAAATATGTACAAGTTCAGTAAGACTGTATTTGCTCCTGTTTATATCATCAAAGTTTCCATTGTTTTACAGGGCCTGTTTGTTGTTGATAAAATTAACTGTGGTATTAATTGAAAAAACTCAAGTATTTTATACTCTACAAATTTTAACACTTTACAAAATTATTTGTACAAAAATTTTTTTTTGTAAAAATTGATCGTGAACATTTTACATGTTTCAAAAAAGTTTTAAGCTGGTGCTTATCTTTTGAAATTCTCTGATTCAGTAGATGCCTTAGTTGCAATCAAAATGAAAATTATTGTTACATTATTTAACCTTTTGAGTATTATCTTGGTGTTAATTTTATTCTTCCTGAGCTTATGCTCTTTTAATTTATAAAACTACTGCACCTCAAACAATCATTTTATTTTTATTCACTGAAAAATATACTTGCAAATGAAAACCTTTTACAGAAGATAAGTTATAGGATTTTATTTTCATATGAAAATATATTAAATGTATTGGCCCATACACAATTATATTACTCAACATACATGTAAAAGAAATATTTATCATGCTTGCTTGAATATAAACTTATCAATTGAAAATAAAAGAAAATCTAATCTTCCATTTGCCTTAAAGTTCTTTGCTGATAAATTTGAATTTATAATTACATAAAATATGGTATACAAATCACAAACCGGCATGACAGTGTTGCATTAAAATATCACACATAAAATATGGTATACAAATCACAAACTGGCATGACAGTGGAGCATTAAAATATCACACATAAAATATGGTATACAAATCACAAACTGGGATGACAGTGGAGCATTAAAATATCACACATAAAATATGGTATACAAATCACAAACTGGCATGACAGTGTTGCATTAAAATATCACACATAAAATATGGTATACAAATCACAAACTGGCATGACAGTGTTGCATTAAAATATCACACATAAAATATGGTATACAAATCACAAACTGGCATGACAGTGTTGCATTAAAATATCACACATAAAATATGGTATACAAATCACAAACCGGCATGACAGTGTTGCATTAAAATATCACACATAAAATATGGTATACAAATCACAAACTGGCATGACAGTGGAGCATTAAAATATCACACATAAAATATGGTATACAAATCACAAACCGGCATGACAGTGTTGCATTAAAATATCACACATAAAATATGGTATACAAATCACAAACCGGCATGACAGTGTTGCATTAAAATATCACACATAAAATATGGTATACAAATCACAAACTGGCATGACAGTGTTGCATTAAAATATCACACATAAAATATGGTATACAAATCACAAACCGGCATGACAGTGTTGCATTAAAATATCACACATAAAATATGGTATACAAATCACAAACTGGCATGACAGTGTTGCATTAAAATATCACACATAAAATATGGTATACAAATCACAAACTGGCATGACAGTGTTGCATTAAAATATCACAGTGTAGCTAAATGGGTACACACAGAATGCTGACAATTCTTACAGCAGGATCTGGTTATCTGTTAGCTGAGCTTGGTCTGGGGTGTCCACCAGAACTGTCTGGCGCAACTTTCTCAGCCGATGACGGAAGTCTTCGTTTAGTGGGCCCTCGCTGGACTTGTCGAGCCCTCTGTCCAAAGCCCAGGCACTGGAGGGATTCTGTGATGTAGCGCTGGGCAGGTGAGACACACAGCAGCACCAGAAGTTTGGCATCTCCACCTGTACACAGTCGGATGGCAGGTGTCAGCAAGGAAAAACAAAGATAGCTCACTAGAAAAACTAACAAAACTTCTATTAGAAGGTTTAAATGGTGTAAATGAAATGCTTCAAGAAGAACATTTGAAGCTTCACCTTAAAAAGCAGCAGATGGCAGTGTGCGTTATGTCAACAAAGATTGTATTCTAAAGCCAAAGATAACCAGTAACCTTTAGAATTGGTTGATGAGATAGAAACTCAAATTATACTTTTCTTTTAACTGATTCTCATAAATAATAAATGACTTATGAGTGCATTAAGATTTGTATTTCATTAGGACACAAGTAGAGCGCTGAAAATTTAAATTTCAGCCGACAAAAACCAAAACTAACCTATAGAATCCTGTAAGAAATGTGTCAGCCGACTGTTTCTGTAGGGCACATGTGTCCTGTGTTCAGCCAGTGCCCCCAGTACATCAGCAAGGGCAGATAAACTTTTGTTGATGTTGGAAGCCTCTCGTAGTGCTGCCCCTTTAACTCCAGACATGCCTGGATAAAACAGTGGGTTATTTATAGTAAATGAGTTCGGTTACTGTTACAGATATAAATTAGAATTAGTTTTAATATTGTTACTATGGTGCAAACAACTGTACCTGTTGAGTATGTAATTGTTTTGTGTTGGAAGCCTGGGTCTCACTCACCCACACACTCAACTCACTCATCCACACACTCAACTCACTCACCCACACACTCAACTCACTCATCCACACATTCAACTCACTCACCCACACATTCAACTCACTCATCCACACATTCAACTCACTCACCCACACACTCAACTCACTCATCCACACATTCAACTCACTCACCCACACACTCAACTCACTCACCCACACATTCAACTCACTCATCCACACACTCAACTCACTCACCCACACTCAACTCACTCACCCACACACTCAACTCACTCACCCACACACTCAACTTACTCATCCACACACTCAACTCACTCACCCACACACTCAACTCACTCACCCACAATTCACTCACCCACACACTCGCTTCCAGCAAGGTCCACTAGCTGTAGCTTGGTCCTGATGACAGGCTGCTGATTGGCTGTTGGCTCATTGGTCCATGTTTGGGATGATGATCTCCCTTTTTTGGCCAGGCTGACAGCTGGGCTAGCTAACAATATAAATAAAACAAGTTATTTGATAGCTAGAAACAAAAAAAAAGCTGAAACACTGGGCTAGCAACAACATAAAAAAACAGAAGTTATTTGATAGCTAGAAACATCTCAATGGGAGTTTCATGTCACAATTTTTATAGAAAATTGTAGAGATCTATCAGTTGCAGTTACTAACTGTATTTTCTCTTCTTGATTAGTAATACAGTTGTTCTAAACTTTGAAGTAGGAAAAAAGCAAGAACAATTAATTTACCCAATGGCACTAGAAGAATGTAAAAATAATTTAGCAAAGAAAAAAGTATCAAACCTTCAGTGTCTAGTGTGGCTGATTTCGCGAAGAAAAAAGTATCAAACCTTCAGTGTCTAGTGTGGCAGATTTAGCAAAGAAAAAAGTATCAAACCTTCAGTGTCTAGTGTGACAGATTTAGTAAAGAAAAAAGTATCAAACCTTCAGTGTCTAGTGTGGCTGATTTCGCGAAGAAAAAAGTATCAAACCTTCAGTGTCTATTGTGACAGATTTAGCAAAGAAAAAAGTATCAAACCTTCAGTGTCTAGTGTGACAGATTTAGTAAAGAAAAAAGTATCAAACCTTCAGTGTCTAGTGTGGCTGATTTCGCGAAGAAAAAAGTATCAAACCTTCAGTGTCTATTGTGACAGATTTAGCAAAGAAAAAAGTATCAAACCTTCAGTGTCTAGTGTGACAGATTTAGTAAAGAAAAAAGTATCAAACCTTCAGTGTCTAGTGTGGCTGATTTCGCGAAGAAAAAAGTATCAAACCTTCAGTGTCTAGTGTGACAGATTTAGTAAAGAAAAAAGTATCAAACCTTCAGTGTCTAGTGTGACAGATTTAGCAAAGAAAAAAGTATCAAACCTTCAGTGTCTAGTGTGGCAGATTTAGCAAAGAAAAAAGTATCAAACCTTCAGTGTCTAGTGTGACAGATTTAGCAAAGAAAAAAGTATCAAACCTTCAGTGTCTAGTGTGACAGATTTAGCAAAGAAAAAAGTATCAAACCTTCAGTGTCTAGTGTGGCAGATTTAGCAAAGAAAAAAGTATCAAACCTTCAGTGTCTAGTGTGACAGATTTAGCAAAGAAAAAAGTATCAAACCTTCAGTGTCTAGTGTGGCTGATTTGGCGAAGAAGCTGGGTGCTTTAGTTGTGACAGTTAGGGTGACAATGAGGTGGGACCTGCTAGAATGTTCATGCACCAGAGTGGCCGACTCTTTACGTGTCTTTAGACCATACTGGACCAGGCTCATCACAGCATCCACATTGTCAACAGACCTGCAGGGAGGGGGGGGGGGGGGGGGTTAAAATTGTATATATTACACTCTAAAACATTATTTTGTTTTCTCTCCATTTTCTGAAAATAAAACTAAAAAAGTAAAAGTAAAGTTTCCCTTTCAAACCTGACAGTCTATGGGGCAAGTGAAGTAGAGTTCACTTGTTTCTGTGACCTCGGCATATGAATAGATAGTGTGGTCAGCACTATGCCCAGCCGCCTTTATTTTCCCTAACGTGAGTTAGGTACCCATCAGAGTTGGGTGGACTCAGGGACGGTCTACTAACATGAACCCGGATTCGAACTCGAGACTAACGGGTTAGCAGTCCAGCTCTCTACCGCTAGACCACTCCGTCCCATATTTTCTGAAAATAGTATCACTTATTAATTGTTTATGGTAAGGTAATACATAAGATTTAAAACTTCAATAACACTAGTATAATTGAAAACTGTTAATAGTTATTTCATTTAATTAGTTATATAGCTAAATTTTGAACTAAAACCTGTTTATGCTATTATAAAAAAGAAAGTTATAAAATGTCTTTGGAAATAAACTAAATATCTTTTCATGCAGCTTGATTGAATTGAGATTGTTCTTGGATTATTTTTTCAATATTGTTATTAATTATGCCAGTGATTAAAAAATTATGTTAGCTTAATAGAGTAATTTGTCCAGCTATCTCAGCTAAGTGCGCTGGTTACCTCATCTTGATTTTGTATTAAAAAACTTGTTTTGTGTCAGTAGATAATTAATGCTTTAAATATAACAAAAATATGAATTATTGAAAGACTTAGAAAAAGTAACTGACTTGGATGTGAAAGTTGGTGTACTCAGCTAATTAAGAGGGAAACAACTGACTTGGATGTGACGGTTGGTATGCTCAGCTGACCATCTCCCCCAGTGACCACATCATGTTTAGCATTGGGATCTCTGCTGAGTAAATCCCTGATGTCATTGTTGTACACCTCCACTACAGATACCTCAATGGTGTGAGTCCCTAGTGGCTTTTCTTCTATTAATCTGTTAGAGGAATCAAGAGAGCTATTTATTTTTCCACAGTTATTCTCAAATTTTTTAATTAGTAGACAACACTTATATTGTGTGTGTGTTGGAGGAGAGACTGACAGTATAGTTTTAGGAATAAATATGTCAAAAGCATGTTAAGTTACTAAGGACTGCATTTTTTTTGGGGGGAAATGGAGGTGTAAAATTATCACTTTAAAAAGCATCAAGTATGGATTGTATGTTAAATTTAAAACACCAATATAAGACAGAGTGTACTGCATCCACTTAAATTACCAAAAATTACAAATTATTCAAACCAACACTTTATTACTAATTGAGTTTGAATTAGGTATGTCTGGGCATCAACTGAGAGTTAAAAAAAGAAGCAAAGAAACCTAAAGAGCTCTCTAGTTGCTCGAGGTATGACCCCTTCATCAGGGTGAGGGTCGTGGCTGGGGTTGTAATCATCATTGCGATGGCTGCCAAGCATTGTGTGAGTTTTGCCACTTCCTGTTTGTCCATATGCCATTATGCAAACATTGTATCTGAAAAAAACAACTTATGTTATGGTAATTATGTCCAATAAAATATAAATTATAAGAATCTAAAATAAAAGCAAATAGTATTCAAATACAGGCAATCTATACATAGTAGGGCATTGTAAAGTATTATCTTTCTTAACTTATTAAGCAGTCTGCATGAATGTACCAATAATTAAAAAGGCCAATCACTCACCCATCCAACAATGACGTCAACATTGGCTGAACCTCATCAAAAACTGACTCTTGTTTTTCAGTAGAATTGTAGACTCTAAAATACAATTTTAATGTTTTACTGACAAAATTTGGCATAGTTAGTTTTTTAAATATGAAGATTTTATTGCTTTTTTATTAAATAAATAAAGATTTTTTTTGTTATGTGCATAATGTATTTAAACAGTATATAAGTAAAGAGTATAAAAACGTGACAAACCTTTCAAATTCAAACACCTTGTTATGTTTATTTGTTCTTACACAAATATTTTCCTTCAATGGTAAACGGTTTTAGTATTAGGTATTGATTTGGTTTTACACAGTTATTTACATAATATGATAAAAATAAAATAAATTGATTATAAAAGCTCAACAATGACACTTTTACTTAATGAAGATTAAAAGACAGGCAAAAAATTGTATATTTTGATTTTCCTAAACATTAAATTACATTTTTTTAAAAATTGAGGAATTTGATTTTACTAATGTTTTTTCAAATACTAGAGTTTAAAAGTTTGGCTTACATCATCTACATAGTGCACAACAACTTCTGATCTGGTTCCTGGTCTAAAAGAAGTTACAAAAGTTGAATTGTTTACAATGAGAAAAACAAAACAGGGTGTAAAATTTCAATTGCTTCTATCCAAAACTTGAGCATCTATTCTAAAGTTTGATTCAACAAACATCTGTTTTAACATCGTTAAGAGCTACATTTAGATGCATTTACTAATGTTTTTTAATATATAAAACTGTATTTCTTATTAATGAAAATAATTTTTTTTTCACTGACCGTCCTAAAGCATTTATATCTTCATTTTCAGCATCAAATTCCATAAGAGGTCTCAATCTTCCATGGACTCTTATATTTCCTCTTAGTTCCTAGAATGTAAAATTGTGTATGTTTTGTATTAAGTTAATAGCTTAACATATATAATCAAAGATAAATTCATACTATTTTAATATAGAAAAACTTCAAGAGAAAGTACTTCTAAGCAAACACAGAAGATTTTTAATAACATTTTACAGAGGTAATGAGGATGATAAAAAGTCAGCATTTAACAGATCATAGGGGACTGCGTGGTCGAGTCGGTAAAGCTCATGGTTGCTAAACCGAAAAGTCTCGAGTTCGAACCCTCGGGCAGATGAGGCTCGTTAGCTGGGGACAGTCTCTCTTCTAGGAGAGACAACTCCAAAATTAAACAACTGCTGCCTTGTAGTTTGTTCTTGGTTGGACAAAGGCTATGGAAGCAAATCCAAAAAGAAAAGCAGGCTGAAATCGGAGTCAATGGCCTCAATGGCACATAACCAGTTGACACGTATCCTTAATTGTGTTGGAGGCGTGGTCGAGTCGGCAAAAAAGCTCATAGTTGATAAATTCGAACAAAGTCTCGAGTTCAAACCCACTGGCAGATAAATCTCGATCCCCTTCAACACTAATAATTAAGAACGAAGAAGAAGAAGAAAGAACAGATCATATTGGAAATGTTGGAGAAACAAACCATGAGAGCATTGTGCAGTTCTTGTCTTCTCTTTTTTTCTCTGGCATGTCTCTCTGTGACATCATTTAAAGCCTGCTGTAGCTGTGCCACTTGTTCAGCTAGAACTAAGTTTGGGGAAATTTGTACAAATTTTTACACAAATGCTTTTTCAAATGATACGGTTAGCTATACAAATTTTAATTTCCAAGTGATAATTTTGACTTAAAATAAATAAAAAAATGTTTTTCTTAAATTAGTTACAGAAAACAGACCTATCATTGAAAGAAGATTAATCTAGGTAATTAAATAAAATTTATTTTCTTTCCTTGACTGGTAATTTTAATTAATTCTGGTGCCACTACAATAGAGAGGTGTCCAAGAATTATTTGCTCAGCTAAATTTAAAACAAACAACAAAGTAGCTAAACATGAAATAAAAAAGAAAACCTCACCTGTTATGTTTGAAGAATTTGATTCATAAACTGCAGTGTGGTGTTGAACAACCGTACATGCACGCTGAAAATATTGCCGAAATTGCCCAGGCATTTCTACAGCAGCTTCCCTCACCTTAGCCAGCTCTTGCTTCACTGTCTATAAATGCGTTTTAGAGAAGTAAAGAAAAAACAAAATCTTATTCACAAAAAGAGATTGAAACAACAAACTTTTTTTTAAGGAATAGACATAATCATTATGTATTTGAGAATCTGTTTCCTTAAAGGTTTAAGAAAATAAATTTGATGTAATTATATGTTAAACAAATAAATGTTTTATCCTACCTGTATATCTTGACGAAGTTTTGCTGATTTGTGAATGACGCTGGTCTTGAATTGGTCACTTATCTCCAGGTCAGAAAATGAAGCTGATGCTTCTCTTTTAGCTGCTGCAACTTCTCCATGTAGATGAGCAAGTTTTAAATACAACATAGCATTTTCAGTCTCTAACGAGGCTATACGTTCATCTTTTCTCTTAAAATAAAAAAATCGATTTCTAAGTTACTTATGAATTTAACTACAAAATGAGCAAGTGTTCAATTTTATAAACTACAAATGAATAACTTAAAATGAAATTGTTTGCCAAAGACACAAGAAACAAATTTCAAGTTGTATTTATAGACTTTTATAATCTTTTTAAAATTTTTAACAAACCATTTAAATTTAAGAGGTAAATTGGTAAAGACTCAGCCTTAAAACAACATTTAAACCTTAGCCAGTGATGGTCTGTTCTTGTCTTAATCCAGAAAGTATTTAAAAAATTGGCTGTTAATAACAGCTAAAATTCAGAAATAAAATGACTTTAATAATGCAATAATGTGACAGCACACTTTTAAATCCCTTGTTGCACATGTCGCAATGCACCACCCACACCCCTCCCTTGTAGGAATGTGACGTCATTTATGAAGGTTATTATCAAAGCAGACTAGTTATTCATATTTGTTACAGAAATATGTCAGTTGTTTTCTTGACATTCTGGCTGGGCATAGAACTATGTACATTATTCCAGTCAGATGCAGAAGTCATAGAAAAAGGTAACTCTACTTCTTCTACCCAAATAACCATCCAATCTATTTGTCAATTTTTATATTATGCTGCCAAAAATTTGGATTTTAATATAGGACCTGAAGAGACTATTGGAAATAATTAGCAATAATTAATTAGGCCTAGGCCTAATTTTTATTTATTTATTAATTTTATATAAATAATTAATGGTAATCTATAAATTTTAGAATTTAGGTGCGTAAAATTGACCAATGTGCAAAGAAGTTGCCTCATTGTTAATGATTTAAGAAAAGTACATTGTGATATATTTATGTCAAATATTAGAGGTAACTGAATAATAAACCAAAATCAATGGCTAAATATATCAATATTATAGGCCAGAAATTAAACAGTAATGTTTGCGAGCAAGCTTTTATATATAAACATCGGCCATCTGTAAGAAGTGAGAGTGGTTTCCCCTGAATCTCTATAATTTTACCCCCAAAAAAAAAACTTAGGCCTAAACTTGAGCTTGGATACATCTAAAGAAAACATTGCTAGTCATTATTTTTTGAAGAAAAGTTTTAATTAATATACATACATTAATATACAATTGTTTAAAAACAGGACTGAAACGTTTTTGTAACTTTCAAAACATAAATCCTCCTAAAAATGTGAAATAATTACTATAATTTAATTAATGAGTCACCTGTTTTTTCACATTACTAGTTTCGGGCGATTTTACGTTGCTAAATAAAACGATAGATACACCTAATTAATTAATTATTTAAAATTATTTTTGAAATAAAAATAGATCTAGATCTAGGCCTAAATGTCAACTAAATGAGTAAATATATGACCCCTAGATCTATGGGCCATATGTCATGTCACTAAATCACAACTAAATGAAAATAAATAGAATCTAGTTTTACTAGTTTAGTAGTGTAGTAAGTAGTTAATAAAGTGTTAAAGTAGGCCTAAATTAGTAAAAAAGCTAAATTCTAAATGAATACCAATGACTGTGCTTCTAATTCACGAGCCTTTGCTGCATAAAATTTAGTCCTGTCTATTCCAAGAGGCATTTTAGAATTACCAAAGCTTTAGTGGTAATGTGAATAAATGATTAAATCATTAATGAATTATTAACAATATACGATTTTTTTCAACAAAATTGTTTACAAATGTCGGCCATGTCTGCCAACAGGGGACATAACCTAAGGTTTTACTAATTTCCAAAACACTAAAAAAAAAAAAAGAAAAATAGGAACAATCTATATTTTAAAAAAAAAAGAAAAAAAAACTGTTTAAATTTTTTTTTAATTTACTATTTCTTTTATTCATGTATAGGTACGTTTCGAAATACGAACCAGAATAGACAATTCTTTATTAAATTCAACTAACAATATTCAGTGAAACATTTCAAATGTGTAAATATATCTTACTACATCGCATTTATGCTGTAAAACTGTCTGTATGACTTGCATGATATTAAAATTAGTGTTTGATTTTTTTATATTATTGTTAATGGCTCCAGAGAATGCCTTTTTTGAAGTTGTATTCTAGGTAATTAAAGTCTATATTTAATGTAGTTAAATGTATGAAAAAAGTCATTGGGTAAGTCTCACTTAAAACCTTTTAAACAAAAGTGAAAAGTGACCAAATCAAAAAACAAAATTCTGATGGGCAACAGTGCCTTTCAAATTAAAAAAAAAATGAAAAAATAATAATGCCTAAATATCAAAACAAATAAGTGCCATCCCTATTATTTTCTCTTTCATTTTTTTGTAAACTCCTTTGATAGGTTAGAAAGATACATCTCATAATCAACAAACAAACACATTGTTTTCTGTTATTTAATAAATACTTTATTTGTCTTGTGTACATAAATATTGACAATTATTTTCATTTTACAGTTTCAAATATAACCTGTTGTACTATGCAAAAAATATACTTTACTGCATAGCAAACACATATTATGACGTAAATTATGGTATTTGAATCCATAATTTTAAAAAAATATCGTCTTAAAATCTACTATTAGTAAATGAATAAAAACATTATAAATGTAATATTTGTTTAGTTTATTTAATACCAAATGGTTCTACTCTAATAATCTTGTTCAAACATAGTTTTGTACATTTTTTGTACAAGTTACAGATAGGGGAGGGGGTGTTGGGTGTGTTGGGTGGGGGGGGGGGTGGAGTGGAGGTAAGAGCTTAATAAAACTATTCATGTACATGATCAGCTTTAGAAATCTTATTTTTATATTTTAGGGTTCGAGAAAACAAAAATGAATAAATGCAGTCAACTCAAAAAAAAAAAAATTACAACTCGTAGATACTGAGATAATCAGATGAATACGTACTTTTCTAGAATATTTTCATTTTGCGAATGCAATAAAATATAATGACCATGAAGTAATTTTAAATTATGCTTATTTAACATTTACATATTTATAGCATTATTATGTAATATAATAGAATGGCATGTTAATAAATCTATGGCATACGACAAAAAATAATTTACTTCCAATTTTTTTAGTTTTTGTTTGGCAAGCGAGATGTTTATGCCAGTTGTTCCATATCTGTGGACTATATAGGCCAGGAAAAATGTAATTTTGTTGCCATTTTAAAATCTAATGGTGGTCAAAATGCTCTAGTGTGAGAGGGTGGTTTTTCTGTGCACGTGAGAGGGGTGGGGGTCGATAGTAGAATCAGAAAATAAAAAACGGAGAACAGATGTTTAGTTATGGGTGCCTTCCCTTTACTTTTGACCCACCATCAACGATAGAAAAACTTTCCATTTTGTTTTGAATTTCAGGGAAATCGGGTCCAACTTACAAGTACAATTTGCTTCACACATTTTAAATTACTACTTCTAAAATTCCTGGACGGATCAAATCTTTATTATGTTTGTCATAATATCTTAAACAATGCAATAATTTACCAACCGAAAACATTGAATAATTTAGAAGTGTTGTGTTATAGATATAGAACACATCAATGTTTTCTGTTTTATCCATAGGAGCGGGGGAGGTTGGGCATAAACACATGGAGGGGGAGGAGGTGAGTATTCGAAAAGGCTTATGCTATTCATGTTAATTATAGTTATTGCCTCTGTATATAGGCCTATTAAACGAATTGTATTATTTAAAACAGATATTTGCTTTATCAACAAAATAATATCAAATTGCTTGAAGACTTAGCAACCGCCAGAATATTAATGACAAAATCGATACAGAATAAAGTGCATGTTATTGATTTGTCATTCTCCAGAAGTAACAGCTCCAGATGTGTACAATAAAAAAACACAATCATTGCTATTGTGCTATGCCATGCATTATCATTTGTAATACATTTTAGAGGCAATGCCAGTTGGTATTGTGTTGACCTACATAAACGTTCCTTATTATGTTTGATTTATTATCAAGTGAAAGTCTTAGAGGCAATATTTGAAGATGTTATATTACAACAATGTTTCTCCTGGTTATTATTTTTAAAAAAAAGTCTTGAGAACCTCACAGGAAATGCCAGGTGTTGTTGTATTTCATTTTTTAAATATAGGACAGCAACTACGGCGCGAAAAACGTTTTTATGATTGGCATTTTTATGTTTAGCTTGTTTTACTTTAGGCAACAGGAAATTTATAAATTTTAAAAGAAGCAAAGTTTTAAAAGGATTTTAAGGGTCGACACTTGTTGTAACTATGTTAATTACAACGTATGGTGAAATATGTAGGCCTAGATTCTATAAGACCACTATAAGTGGTGTGTGTCACTTTTTTTTGTACGTCACATGAGAGCGAATCAATTATAGATCAAAAGGTTATGTCACAACGACAATCTATCAGTCAAATAAAGTCAAATAAATGTCACAACGACAATCTATCAAAGCCTTATAAAGTGAAAGTCAAATAAATGTTATAAACCTAACTCATTTTATTTTACAAATGACATTAAAAATTATTTAGCTTATTTAAATTCTTATAGTAAACTCGGCCTAAAATCCCAAATTTAAACTGATGGCAAAATTGGTATGTACAGTAGGCTAGTGTTTGAAAAATGTAGGACTACGCTTTTCATTTTAAAAAGATTAATTAACATTAAAGAAGTAATTTGCTTTTGGATGTATCATGTGTTTTCGTTAGCACCCCCCTCCCCCACCCCCTATCTGATGCAGACTGTTATAAAAACGAATATTTTTAACTAGAAGTATCTGGTTGAACATGTTTTATTGGAGAATCTGATGTAGTGTTGACTTGTCCTTTGGTTTCAGCTTGCTTTGCCTCCCCAGTGTTTTATACACTGTACATATTTGCCCCTTGTCATTTATCTCTAGCGTCACATCTTTGTTCAAATTTAATGATCAATTAAAACTGGTGCTAGGTTATTGATTAACCACGTGACCGACTGGCCTTGACCTTAGGGTTTAACATAATCGGCTGGTGCTGCTGGCACTTACAGTAACAGCCTTACTGTAGCATTCGATTGTTTGGTTTAAACTCCAACTTTAAATAGCCGAATCCATGCAAATACAAGTCAGCTTAATTCATTGATTGAACTGATGTAACAAACCATTGTACATTTAAACAGTGTAGAAAATGTGACGAACGTTAGTTGAATTTATACAAGATGTAAGGAGCTCTGCGTTACTTGACACGTGTAAGTTATGTACCGAGCAATGTACACACTGAGCTGAGATTGTAACAAGCTGCAGATAACTGGGGGACTCAAGTGTTAGACAAGACGAGCAGCCTATAGCCAGAAGCCACATCTTATCTGATTGGCGAGAAGATAGGAGCTTAGTGGCGGAATTATCAATGCTGTTACGTCAGTCGCGTTTTGATTGTTTTAGCAAATTGAGGAAATATTGAGAAGATGCATTGCGAAATGGTAGAATTAAACCATTAGCAGGTCTAGTTTTTAAGAATGTTATATTTTGTGTGTGTGTGTGTGGGGGGGGGGGGGGAATAGATATAGGGCCTAATACATATATAATGAGGGATATAAATGGGCTAGCCTCTATATCCCGAGATCCACCCATAGCTATTGAAATGCACATTAAAAAAATATTAAGAAAACAAGTTGTATTAGTTATAAAATTATAACATAATCAAAATACTTTTTATCTTATGAATAACCTTTTTCACCCCTCCCCCCCCCCATTTATTTTCCTTATTTGTGTGTGAGGTGAATTGCTAAATGCTCCCCACTCCCTTAGATCAGCCTATGAAATGAAAACGGAAACACTGAGGCAAGCCTGATTAACATTAAATCTGCTACAGATCTGTGCTATCGGAAAATGGTATTTAAAACACAGAAAGATTTGTTAAAAGCCAGCAAAACGTCAGCTCAGACATAAAAGGAAGTTTGAGCCTGCGCCCACGGCAATGTACACAAGATAGAAAAATATGATGAAACATTTTGTCGATGTACTGAACAATTGTGATAAATATGGCTCCATTGTTTATTTATTTTGTAATAATTTTAAATGTTTATTCTGATAAAGCTGTTGTACGGCATGTAATTTTATTTTAATGCAACTCTTCTTTCAATGTTTCAGTTTAAAAATGCAACTCTTCTCTCAATGTTTCAGTTTAAAAATTGCTGTTTAGCGATTATTTTAATAAAAAATCAACGAGGATGGTGGCGTTTGAATACATTATTTTGAACACAATTATAAGAATAAAAAAATAAAGTAATAAAAAAAATATCAGTTATTTTGAGTTATTTGATAGAATATAGAAATGTATACTTTGTACATAACACTTTAATCATTGAACATAATATTTATATCCTGTTTACACATTTAAGGTTTTTTATTTTACACAGGTAAAACGGTAGGGAGGAGGGTGGGGGTGGGAGAACACCATAGCCAGAAAGAAACTAACAGCCTTATCTACTAGATCACGTGATTTAGTACAAGCAGATACGGCCCGCTGAACCCTGAACGTTTATCACAAAAATTCATATTAGGCCCTTGACAGAGAATGCAAATAACAAGATTTGAGTACAACAATCAAGCACACATCAGACAGGGGCAGTCTTCACATTTTTTGTGCAAATAGTACGCCGTGATCTACATGTAAACCCGTGCGTTAAATATCCGCATCTTCGAACGCCTTTTGGCGCTTTTTGGCTTTAGCCGTGACTTTCTGTCGCCTGGGTGCGATATTCGGCGACGGCACTGGTGAGATGCTGGCGTCGGGGCTAGCGTCCCCCACGGGCGATAGCGTGGTGGGGGACGGGCTCGGGCTGGCTGTGGAAGACGTGACACTCTGGAGCCGGCTTTCAGGCGCTTCCAGTTGTGTGGGGGTCGGCTGCTCGGCCTCTGCCCGCTCTGGAATGCAGTCTGGGTGTCTCTGAAACTTCCTAGAGCCGGACCTCGAGTGCGAGATGTGGAGCTGCGGCTGCTCGGCCGCGACCCCCCTGGGGAGGAGACCATCCATGGAGCGGGAGAAAGCCTGGAGCTGGCCCTTCAGCTGCTCGGGAGGTTGTTCTGCAGCCGTGGAGCTCACCGGCTCCTCGTCCACCTCCTTGATCTCGTCAAACGTCACGGGCTGGGTCTTGTACCTGGCGCCGCTTCTCTGCGCGCGGTTCTTCTTTTTTCTAAACGAACCGGAAGCGTTGAAATCTCCATGGAGATGCAGACGCGAAAGGCGTTCTGGGAAATGCGTGTCGAAATTATACATAGGGTCATGGGCTTTAGCGGTTGGTGACGCCATCATTTTTAGAATTAGAGTCTTTTTTTACCAGAACACACACCACAGATACAGTTTATGATCTTTAAACACGTTTAATCCATTGTTGTATTCTGTTTTAAAAGTTATTTATTTGCTTAGATCTCCTAAGGCAGAATTCTTGATTCCGAAGACCGAACTATTTGAAACGAAGAATGCGAGAAACTTATCAGAGCGTGTATGAATATTCATGAAGCTATTTATAAAACTCTGACCACTGGACGAGGCTACCTCGACAGCTCGACACACGTTCTGGCGAGAGTAAACGATCCAGAAATATGGCTTTCCTTCTCTCTGTGCTTTTTCTTCTGTCTGTGATTTTTCTTCTTTAAATCAGGGATACAAATGTGAAAACGTGTTCTGTTGCATTCATCGTCCAATCTCCATCATCGTGTTATCCGGTAGTTAGACTAACCTGAGGAAATACACAACAGTCAAAAGTTAAATTTAGACTAATATAACAAAAGAAATTAATATTCTAGATTTCGTTCATTTCCTGAAAATGAATAATGACATACACACTGTATTACATTGAAAAAAATTTTTTCTTCAGGGTGTGGCTGTGGGTGTTAAGCACAAACAAAGCCTATATATCTACACAGTATACACACGAAGAATATACTACATGTAATACACTTTTCTAAGACTAGAATCTTACAAGTACTACCCCTTTCTCAGATGAGTATTCGATACAGTAGGCTTCTACACATGTGTATTTTTAAGAATGGTATACTTTAAGTACTACATTTTTAAAAAGAATAGTATCTAGACTAGACTTTTCTAACAATAGTATCCTAGACAGTACTACACACATGTCTACGTAACCGACTTCAAAATAATAGCAGCACAGGTTATAGTAATCCGCCCCAAAATGAAATACACACAAATAATATGAGCATGTTCATTCGTGTCTTTACTAAATTGAAAGAAACGTCATCAATGGAACGATAGATCTTGAATCAATTCATTTACGAATGGCTGGTTTCTTAATGTATGTTCAAACATTACACATGTATGGTTAATTTGGTTCTTAAACCTGACACACGTATGGTAAACTTGTTTTGTTTCCAGTCAAGGTCGATATGACAGGAAGGCTCAAGTAAATTGATGAATGTTTGCATTGGGGGGGGGGGGGGGGGGGGAGTAAAACTGTGAGAATCTCGATCGGAGAGGGGAAGGTAAGACTTGAGTTAGGGGTGGGAGAGATGAGGGGGATGATGGCTGGGTTAGAGAGTTGAGAAAAACAAGAATTCACAAAGGTGAGGCAGATATCAAATTAGGTCACTATCATAAATTGCCCTATATCATAAGTTGGCCGTATATAATGTTGCCCTATATCACAAGTTGGCCCTATATCATACGTTTGTCAAATATCAACACAGTAATTAGCCTCAACCGTTTGGCCTGTGTCAAACATTTTGATATGAATCAAAAGCTTGGTCAGCATCAATAGTTTAAATTACCACGAAGAATTGGAACAAGTTCAGCACCCGTCCATTAACAATCGCATCAGTTGAAACCGTAAGCAAGCCGTGGGTTATCACAGGAGTAAATAAGACACAGCATGTTACACCTCGTTATGTATGGCGTATTATATAGAAACACACTGGTCGATATTTATGTAGTGTATACAGCCACATAAGTAGGTCCAGGGGAAGAGTAGAACTATAGAACTACACAGATACATACATCATATATATATATATATATATATATATATATATATATATATATAAAATATATATATATATATATATATATATATATATATATATATATATATATATATATATATATATATATATAATATACATTTACACACACACACATATATTTACGGCTAAGAATTACACTACGGCTATGTATTACATTTCGGCTAAGTATTTGACAACGGCTATGTATTACACTACGTCTATGTATTACACTACAGCTATATATTACACTTCGGCTATAGATTACACTACAGCTATAGATTACACTACAGCTATAGATTACACTACGGCTATAGATTACACTACGGCTATAGATTACATTACGGCTATGTGCGAATGAGCTCTAATGAATGATCTCTGATCATGCCTGGTCCTAATGTGAAGGTGGTTTACACAGTTTTATCCTGACCTTTGAACTTCCTCATCAGCGCGAGCACATGTAACAATCCCGAGAAATAGAAAGACATTCCTCGCCCGACGGTAGAGTTATCTGCGCCTGAGGGACGGGCAGGTGAAGAGATAGGCCCAGGGGCCTGTGTTTATGCAGGGAGTTTGGCACGAGCTTGCGCGTGAGTCATGCACGCGCACATACCCACCGTCCTCCCCGCACATACCCCCGTCCTCCCCGCACAACGCTGGGGGAAGAAAATTGGCAAAACACAAACAATATCTATAGGGGAAGTAAGCGATGGTCAGGTAGGGGAGGGGGGGGGGGGGGGTTCAGGTAAGGGGGAGAGGTGGAGGAGTGGGAAGGAGTGGAGTTTAGATTAAGGATGGTGGTGTTGATAGGTTAGGGTAATAGAAGGTGGATGGGCAGTTAATGTGTCGTGTGTGTGTGTGTGTGTGGATGGTCAGTTAATGTGGTGTGGGTGTGTGAGGATGGGCAGTTAACGTGGTGTGGGTGTGTGCGGATGGTCAGTTAAAGTGGTGTGGGAGTGTGTGGGTGTGGGTTAGGGTGGTCAGTGTGTGTGTGTGTGGACAAGTAGAGTGAAGAAATGTAGAAGAGAATGTGAGGATTAAATAGTGGAGAGTGGATGCTGGTCAGCGAAAAGGGTAAGTTTGGGGGGGGGGGGTGTGGTGGCTGATAATATTAGTAAAATATTGATTCGCTAATTTTTTTTTCTGTCGTAGGTTTTATGGCAGATGTAAGTTTAAAAGTCAAAAGTCTATGATATTTGTAAGTTTATGTCGTTAATAAGGTTAGTTTTAAGTTTATGTAAGATATAGACTCCGATAAAATCTGGTTATTACCAATCTATAAATTCCCCACAGGGTTTGTTATAGTTGGACAGGTGGTTATGGGTGAACTAAAGGCAGGTGGTTATAGGTGAACTAAAGGCAGGTGGTTATAGGTGAACTAAAGACTAGTGGTTATAGGTGAACTAAAGACTAGTGGTTATAGGTGAACTAAAGGCAGGTGGTTATGGGTGAACTAACGGCAGGTGGTTATAGGTGAACAAGGACAGGTGGTTATAGGTGAACTAAAGACTAGTGGTTATAGGTGAACTAAAGGCAGGTGGTTATGGGTGAACTAAAGGCAGGTGGTTATAGGTGAACTAAAGACTAGTGGTTATAGGTTAACTAAAGACTAGTGGTTATAGGTGAACTAAAGACAGGTGATTATAGGTGAACTAACGGCAGGTGGTTATAGGTGAACAAGGACAGGTGGTTATAGGTGAACTAACGGCAGGTGGTTATAGGTGAACAAGCACAGGTGGTAATAGGTGAACTAAAGACAGGTGATTATAGGTGAACTAACGTCAGGTGGTTATAGGTGAACAAGCACAGGTGGTTATAGGTGAACTAACGGCAGGTGGTTATAGGTGAACTAACGGCAGGTGGTTATAGGTGAACTAAAGGCAGCTGGTTATAGTTGAACCATAGTCAATTTTGCCAGTATCCACCACTGAAGATATAAGCCCGTGTTATTTGCCTTAGTGACACTTGCACATTCTCCTCATCAGCTCATTTCATATTCATCAAACCCAGCCCAGGATTAACGCTTGTCTAGAACACAGGTAGGCTTAATCAAGATTAATTATAACGGCAAGCCTTAACGTGTGGTTAGCGCTTAGATCAGCTCTCACAAGCATATATTGAATGTAAGTTGTTATCACATAAGTTATTCACCCCCCCCCCCTCCTCCATTGTCACACGACCATACCACCACAATTGCTAAAAGTGACGTTTCGCAACAGCTCACCTCTACCATCTCAAAAATTGTTTTTTTTAAACAGACGGATTTCTTATATATATATATATATATATATATATATATATATATATATATATATATATATATATATATATATATATATATATATATATATATATATATATGTATATATATATATATATATATGTATGTGTATATATATATATGTATGTGTGTATATATATATATATATATATATATATATATATACATATATATATATATATATATATATATATATATATATATATATATATATATATATATATATATATATATATATATATATATATATATATATATATATATATATATATATATATATATACTATATATAAAGTGACATTTGAAAAATACATAGTATTGTGATTTATAAAACAAACCTGATCTGTCTCCCCACAACAACAAGTTGAACTCACCCTGACAAGAACTAACAAATCGTGTGGCACGTGTGAATCAGAATGTATGTGTCCAGGTACAGAATGGTGGCCGTGTAGATGCATGATGCAGGTACACGGACGTAGCGAGCAGACGGCGTGTCAGATCTGCACCAAGTCACACAACGGCCTTGACATTGAACCTAATTGGGCTGTGGCGGATGGCCGTAAAATTATGGGATGGGATTGTCCGAGTGTGCACGGTAAACGGTTTTAGCCGGCAAGGAAGATTTAGGTGGTTGTAAAAGATGATATGAAGTTGGCCATAAGGTGCGCTATTAAATCTGTCTAAAAAATGTTTCAGATAGGGGATGTTCAATGAGTGAGCTAATGGATTGATCTTGGATTCTTCGTAAAAAGACCAATCTCATTTAAATTTAAATTTTATGCTAATTATATATAAATAGGCCTATATATATATATATATATATATATATATATATATATATATATATATATATATATATATATATATATATATATATATATACATATTTTAATAGCTGTTAATATATTACTGGTTCAAGTAAGAGGTGTGAAGTTATGTTAAGATATGGACAGGAGAGCTATACATTTTTATTATGAAAGATGTGTTGTCGTCACTACATAACTTTGGAGTTTTAGGCCTGTAGGTTGTGTCTCGTGTTGTTAGTATTAGTATAGTGTAAGTGCGCCTCTCTTCTAGATTAAATATCCCATAGTTTACAACAAGAAGCGATTAGAGAGCACCTTCCCACTCATCATCCGTGTCTGCTAAAAAATGATTTTATTACGTCACATTCGTGGAAACGAAAAGAAGCAATGTCTGAAAGCCGGAAATAAAATTTAACTTGACATTAATTATTAACTTGTATTTTCTAAAACGTAAACGTTTTTTTTAAAAAAAGAATAAAGTAATAATTTAGGAAGGTTGTCAAGTTATCTTCCCGTGAACCGGAAACCGTTCAGGTGCAAGTTGTGAGGTGTCCAATCAAAACAAAGTCACGTGATTGTCTCTGTTATCTTCCAGCCACTCGTGGCCGTGTGCAAACAAACACAACAATTACTGTTT